TTTTCATTCCCTGCACTGCCCTGCCCCGCACCAGCTCGGGGCTCTGATGGCAGGAGCATCAGATAGAGCACCAGAGCTACTCTGACTGCCTGGCATTCGATGACCAGACTGAAAGCCCAGCAGGCAGCACCGAGATGGACACCATCAGAAAACATGACTCTTGGGTTCCTCTTTGGCGCCAGGACCCCATGGCTGGCGCCAGGGATGAGAATGAAAGATGCCCCATTACCTCAAGTCTAATGACCTGTGTCCTGATCCCTGGTGACAGGGAACAGAAGGCAGGAAGTCCGGGAGGAGGTAAATGAAAACACACTGAAAGCATATACCCACAGCCAGGAGGTGCCCTTCCCACCCTGTCCCCCCACCCCCTCCCCCACCCTGCCCTCCCTGCTGCTGACTAACAAACCCATCCCAGGAAGGGCAAATAGCAAGTAAATAGCACTTAGCTTTCAACGCTCTGCCGGAGGGCTCTTCCCTTTCCCTCCCACTGTCTTCTTCCAGGGACCAGCCTAGGATGCTCTGTTTATCCCTCTAGGTCACTGATTCCCGGACAGGTGAGGGACCCTCAACAGAACCCCTGCTTGGCTCCAGAGTCCCTCACTCCTAAGATAGTCATCTCAGCCCCTGACAACATGGCATCTCCTTTCCCCCACGTCCTCTTGGCCCCATGACCTTCACGAAGCCATGGCTTGGCTTCTGAGGGCCCCATGGGACAAAGAACACCTACTAGACAGGTTTTGGCAGGCTAGCCTGGGAACCTAGGCATCGTAAAATGTTGTTGATATGCAATACATCCCAGGTTATAGTGTGGAATGCAGGAATCGAGCATACATCTCCTAGGAGCAAAGTAGTTGGGCAAATATAGTTGCCCTCAACTATATGACCTGAGGCTGCCCCTAGTTTGCCTCCAGGAATCTTGGGGGCCTAGTGCCATTTCCTTACTGCCTCCCTTCCCTAGCTTGCATCGCAGCAATAGGGAGCCTGCCCTACCCTGCCCTGCTGTGCTGCTGCTGGGAGAAGAAGTCACCTGGCTGTGGCCGGAAATCCTCCTCCACCTCAGCAGCTGTTCCCATTGATGAGATGTCTGGGAGCCAGGTGTCTAATTGGTTATACACAGTGTGGTGTTACTTTTACCACAACCAGGCCCAGGGGCAGGCAGAGCAGGAGGGTGGCAGAGAGGAGGGTGAAGAGGGCCTGGGCTGCAGGGGCTGGTTTCTCTGACCTCTTGAGATGTTCCTTCCCAATTTCTCCTATCCTGTGGAGCACTCAGCGTGAGAGTGCTCAGAGGCCCTGAGCACTGTGTTCAGGGCTGAGGGTAAAAAGGAGAGACCAGTAACCTGCGTGTCTTGGTGAGGAATCCAGGAAGCCACCACTGCCTGCCACGTTCATAGCTGCATTCTGAGAAAAGCAGTTCCTAGCAGGATTTTCTGCAGAAAGATGCCATGATTGGTGCCATGGAGGGTGGATGGTCTGTCACTGTTGACCGTGGTAAGCCACAGGGCACCATGGTCTGGATGGGCACAGGAGAGTGGGACACTTGGGGTGCTCAGTGTAAGCCCTGCCCTGCGAGAACCTTCAGGTTGGGTGCTGCCCCTGGCCCCACTGGACCCTCTCTCTAGGCAATATGAACACCAGGAACACACAGATGACCCGAGTGGCTATCTTATTTTCCATGACCCTGTCTGGGAGACGTGGCCAGTGCACCCTACACTACTGGCCCACCACTGGCAACTCCCACAGCTGCGTTTCTTCCTGGCACACCAAAAGAACCAACTTCAACTGGCGGAGGTTGTCAGTAGTGTCCATCTCTCCTAATTTCCTTCTCTGTTTCCCACTCCCATCAAAGCCCATTCTTGGTTGTTTCTCTTCTACTCGGAGAAAATAGCCTAAAATGGTGCCCCACTGTGTCCTAAGTTTTTTTTCACCCCCACGTCAGTGCCCAGCCCTTTGTGAAAAATAGCACAAGATGCCAAAGGATCTAGTCTGAGCCATGCTTTTAACCTCAGGATTGACCTCAGGAGGACACCCCCTCTGGGCCTCCATTTCTCATCTGTAAAATGGTTTTCCCAAATGGCAGAACACATTTTCTTTATGTGGGGCTTGAACTCACAACCCTGACATCAAGAGTCACTTGCTCTACCCACTGAGCCAGCCAAGTGCCCCTCCACAGATCTATCTTTTAACTCACAAATGTCCTCTTCAGCTATATTAATTCATTTAAGCTTTACACTTGAGTTGTTTTGTTTCCTTTTCGTTTTTTGTTTTTTCTCTCTGGGGGTTTCTACTTGGCCCTTCCTACCATACTGGCTCTTAAACTGGACAGGCCAGGGAACCAGGGTGAGGTATAGCAGCTGCTAACTACTTCCATCCCAATTATGCACTTGGGCGGGGGCCACCACTGCAGGGTGGGGCCACGGAGCCACTAGACCAACTGTAAGATCAACTTGGGCCAGGACTCCATCGGTCACCTGATCTCCATAAGCCCTGGCCTGACCTGGGGACCACTGTCCACCAAAATAATTTCGATAACTAAATTTTTTATTTCTAGAAGTCCCTTTGACTCTTTTCCCCCTGATACTTATCTGTTTTACCTTGTGGGTTTTACACCTTCCTTTAGCTCTTTAATTATTTTAAACATACTTACTAACTCTTTCACACTATTCTATCATTTCCAGGTTTGAGGGAATAATTTTCTTTCTTTTTTTTTTTTTTTTTTT